GTACGCCTTGTGACAATTTTGCGTACGGATAACGGCTGGAAGGAAGGTTACTGTCTAGTTTAAATCTGACAGTTTAGGGTGCTATAACATGACTTCAAATTAAGTTCTAAATTCATGGTGCAGTCTTTTAATTAATAGATTGGACCTGTAGCATGGTGTATGGCTCCGTGTTAAAAGATAAAACAAAATACAAGTATACAACTTAGTATGCTGTTACCGGATGGAAGGAAGTAAATTGCTTAAATTAGTTTAGCGATTTATTGGAATATAATATGATTATAGAATTTATTTTAAATGCATGATAGAGTCATTGATATATTAGATTTGATCTATGCATGTTCTGGATGCTAGTTGCTGAATTATTAATTGCTTCTTGCAACTATATGGTTTAACGCTTGAATTTAAATTGCTGAAACATTTAAAAATCTTCTGTAATTATTTGGATATTGGTTTTGGATTTTAAATTATTGTACTATTATTTATAGCCTGTAATTTACATAGTTTTGGATTTAAATTGCTGAAATACTCTTCTGCAATTATTTGGAATGGTTATGGACTGTAAATTGCTAAAATATTATTTAATTGTTGTAATTTACACGGATATGGAGGATTGTATGCACCGGTATGGGACGGTGACATACTAGGTATGGTTTAGCTCAAAACGCTAATTCCTACCTTATGGATTTTAATTGGTGAACAGTTTTACCTGTTCAACCAATTATATGGATTTTGTGGATTGTATGTACCGGTATGGGACGGTGGCATACTAGGGACAGACTGATTCAAAATACTCAGTCCTACCTATTTTGGAATAAGGGTACGGGTTGTTAAATAAAATCCTCCTTATATATATGAGTCGGTGCGGTTGAATACGCTGAATGACTTACTGGATTTCTTATGGATGAATGTGAACGGATTTTATATATATTTTTATGGTACCGTGACATGAGCTTGAGTCTCATAGTCGACGGTTAGGGAGCGTATATGCAGTAGGATGCGTAGCTAGCTATGTTGGTTGAGGTATACCCTGTTAGGCTTAGGTAGTCATGCCCACTCAGGTGCGTATTGCATGTTACCTTCTATTCAGGTTGAGACCCTCAGCATAGTTAGTGAGAGTCATGTAGTGTGGATATATATTTATCTATTATGGACTATATAGATATGTTTGAGACGTCTAGGATGTATCTGCGTATCGGGTCTCTGTTTGGATTGTAGTTAGGATAGAACTTGTTCGTGGGCCTGACCCACTATTATTTTTCAGGTAACGGACGGTTCTGGGTCGTAGAGCTCGTTCGTGCTGAGCAGAGACGACTACTCATTCTACCGACGATGTAGGAGGTTTTTCATGGTTTAGCAGTGGATTTCTTTTTAGTTGTTCGCTTTCCAGTATTGGCTTTTGATTAGGGGTCCACCAGATGGATTCCCGAGTTGTATAAATTGGAGAACGATTTCCATTCGTGGTGGATCAGTTGTATCAAAATAGTTTTAATTATCAATGAAATTATTTATTCTGAGGTTTTCAATTATTGGATTATCATTCTAGTTTCTTTTCAGCAAAATTTTATTCATTCTTGTTTTCTATATTGTATTCTGTATTCATTAAATTGCTAATTGATTTGATATCCTTGGGTAATCGGGCGTGGGCCTGGCCAACCCGCATCCGGAAATTTGGAGGTATCACACTTGCTAACAGTCTTTTCCAATAAAATTGATAAGCTTTAAGTACAGAACACAAATAAATATGGGGAGATAGGATCACCTTGCCTGAGTCCCCTCAAATGGAAAAGAATATCACCATTTTCCCTATTAATCAAAATAAAATAATTAACAGTCCTCACACACACCATTACAATCCCAACCCATTTTCTATCAATTCCCAATTTTAGCATCATACCGTCCAGAAAATGCCACTCCACCCTATCATAAGCTTTAACCATATCCAATTTAAGAGCCATAAAATGATTTTTTTCGTTGCCATTTAGATTTTAAAACATGAAGCAACTTGTAAGCAATCATAATATTATCTTGAATTAATCGCGAAGGCACAAAAGCAGTTTGACTTGCGGAGATAATAATAGGCAAAATTATCTTAAGACGATTAGTTAAAACTTTTGAATAAATTTTGTAAACAACATTGCACAAAAAAATAGGGCAATATTGAGAAATTTTAGTAGGATGTCTAACCTTGGGTATCAACAAAATATTAGTGTGATTAAGGCTCCTCGGCATATGCCCTCCTTTCATGAAAGAATTAAAACCATCCACAAGATCCCTTTTAAGCAACTTCCAATTAAATTGAAAGAACATTGGAGTTAGGCCGTCCGAACCTGGAGCTTTAAAAGGTCCCATGGCTGAAATAGCACTTCTCAATTCATCTTATGTAGTTTCTTTAAGAAGTTCTGCATTCATCTCAGCTGTGACTTTAGAAGGGACAAGGAACCAAAAGTTTTCATCCCAATGGGAACCAGAGGAGGAAAATAACCAATTGAAATAGTTCTCAGCAATCCCTCTCACAACCCCTTTTTTCTCACACCAAATTACATTGTTATCTTCAAGACCCAATACGACGTTTTTCTGTCTTTGAATTTGAGCTTTATGATGTAAGAAACGAGAATTATTATCACCGTGCTTGAACCAAGCAATACGGGATTTCTGCTTCCAATGGATTTCCTCATCTCTCCACAAATCCTTGAGCTCTCATTTCAAGTTTCTAACATTCCCTCTTATCATACCCATGGACCGACTCCTTCAAGGCTGTTAAAGTACACTGGATCTCCTGAATTCTTACTTGGGAGTTAGTCATCTTATCCTTGCTCCATTTTTTAAGAGATTTTTTTGCATTATTTAAGCCTTTGTTTAATGGAAAGTAGTTTTGATCCAACCACTAGGCTGCTCCAAACCTCCACAACAGTAGTCTTGAAATCGTCAAATTTAACCCATCGAGCATCGAAATACCATTGCTTCCTTAAATGAGCCAATGACTCATTCAAATAAAGTAACAAAGCTTTATAATCAGAACAAGAAACGAACAAATGACGCACCCCACTTTGCTGAAACCGATTTTTTCAGTCTATTGTGCAAAGAACTCTATCAAGGCGAGCCATAATAAATCCATCTTCTTCCCTGTTATTCACCCAAGTAAAAGGAAAACCTCGAAAACCCATGTCCATTAGGGCACAATCAGAGATTAAATCTTTAAAATCGCACATCATCCAACCTTGTTTCAGTCCCCTGCCTCGTTTCTCATCAGGATGAACAATGGGATTAAAATCACCCGCGACAACCCATTTCGATCCCAACTGGAATTGAAGGCAATGGAGATAACGCCATTGGTTAGCTCGCAAACCAGCTTCACAAGAGGCATAAATACCTGAGAAGAACAAAGAATCCTCTTTTTGAAGACCCACAACTTCATAAGTAATTTGAAACTCTAAAAAATCAATAATTTGAAAATTCCAACTCTGAGAGTATAAAAGAGTTAAACCACCCGATCTACCTACCGAAGGCACCACAAACATTTCATACCCAACCAGAACTCTTTTGACTCTTTCCATACGATCAAATAAAATTTTTGTTTCTGACTGAAAAATTAGGGCTTGGGAATGGAAGTTAACTAACCACTTCAATTGAGAAATTGTGTGGGAGTTTCCCACTCCTGACAATTCCACACCAGAATACTCATTGAAACGAAAGATGGAAAGATCCAAAGAGTAAAACTAGAGTGTAAAACTCCAAAACTCCGATGAACGGAGAACTCCTACATCGAGGAGAAAGAAAACTCCTATGTATGAGTTGCTTTCAGGTGTTGAAAATCACGTCACTTTTATCAAGCTTCAACTACAATAAATATTTCATTTTCTTCGACCATAGCAACCTTGTTTCTTTGATCCCAAATAATGTACAAACTTCTTAGATTATAACTAAATCACATAATTCTTCTAAATTAATATTATTCTTAGGTTCCGCTCGTAGTACAGGGAGTAAATTTTTTTCAATTCCCAAATTTTATTTTGTCTTCGCCAATCCTCGAATCCATAATGATTTTTTAGTTAAACAATATATCTTTAATAATTTATAATAAATATATAAATTTCTCACATCCCAATTTTAAGAAATAAAAAAATATTAACCATTACTAATATTATGTATATCCAAACATAGAATAAATTAATCTAATAGAACTCAAACACATTTCCTCCTCTTGTTTATGAAATTATAATTTTATTATTCCACAAAATATATATAATGGTCATTAGCATATACACAAATATTAAAAATATTTTATATACACATATATATTTAGTAGCACACAAATGACCAAATTTTAGATTCCGTCACTTTTGTGTTCTTGTTCTTTCTTACTCTCATTATAGACCCTCATTGTTAAGCCCAATCCAAATAATGTTCAAACTTGTAATAACCTTATGCATTTAGATTATAGATCCTCATAGTTAAGCCCAACCCAAATAATGTTCAAACTTGTAGCATTGTGTTATAAGCATATAGATTATAGACCCTCTCATTGCTAAGCCCAACCCAAATAATGTTCAAACTTGTAGCATTGTGTTATAAGCATATAGATTATAGACCCTCTCATTGCTAAGCCCAACCCAAATATTGTTCAAACTTCGAACATTGCGTTCTTATTATGCGTATATTTTTATATACATTTTACACTAGAATGGAGCAATTTATTTTAATACTGTACAATTTAATAGCTTACGAGAATCAATCAATTTCTCATGGTTGTCTAAAAGTAGTCCCTGTAGAACCGATCTCTCGTGGCTCGTAATAAATTTTAAAAGATGATGTCACCTTCCAGTGATTCGATACTAGTATTTAGCTGCCACGTATCCAAATCAAGATTAGAAAAGAAAAAAACAAAAAAAACAAAGTGACACGTGTTGTCTGAAGCATCATCCAGGTGTCCTTCTTACAATTCTACGTGGCATCTTCCCAGAGCCCTCCAACCTCTATTTAAACCGGACTATCAAAAACGATTTTTGGACGTAATAGTAATAATAATAGTGGAATTGTGGAAAAGAAAGTAGAGAGTGAAAATGCAGGCAGCGAAAAATGCAGCGGCGTCGGTGAAAGAAACGGCGGCAAATGTGGCGGCATCGGCCAAGGCCGGCATGGACAAAACCAAAGCCACCATGCAGGAGAAGGTCAGTTTTTCAAATTCACTGCAAATTAGGTTAGTTTACATTATATATTTGTGCATGCGAACATCCAAACAATTAATTTCAAATGGAATTTTTGTTGTTTGGAATGAATAAAGTTAGAACTGGTATTTAGATTTGATCGGATTTTAAATTTCAAAATGTGTTGCTTTGAAATTCCATGAAAAATGGTGGGATTTGTATTTTCTAAAGTAAAATTTACAATTTATTCAATTTTATTTCTATTTAGTATTCCAAATTGTAATTTATTCTGAACACATTAATGATATATCATTTCATATTTAATTCAATTTCTTTTCCGAATTTAAATATAAAAAAGATTTGGTTCCAAACAGAGCGGATTGAAAGCTGTTGCAATTTTACAAGTATGGAGCAAAAACATCAAAATTAGAATTAAGATTTGAACATATATACGTTTGTGTCATGGCTATGAGACACTGCTCTTTGTACTTGATTACTAAGAATTATTTGAATTATATACTAATGCAGTTACCTTAATTGTTCCAAAAAAAAAAAAAAAATGTTAAAAATAAAAGTTGTCTGAATTCATTTTATTTTTTCAAACATGTTTTATGAATTTCATTAGGCACTGAGAGTTTTCATTTTGTCCAAATAGTGTTTTTTTTAGGCGATTCAATTTTTGTTTTGATAATTATATTTGAAAGAGTAGGAGGGGATCGAGGTTCAGTATGAATCCAGAAATCATCCAGTGGATCAGATGGAGTGAAAATGGAGTGTGTGTTTTATTCTTTATATTAATATTTGTATTTCATGGTTTATGAGGAACCAAGTTGGATTATACATGTTGGTTGATAGGTGGAAAAAATGAGTGCACACGACCCTGTAGAGAAGGATATGGCGGCGCAAAGGAAGGAAGAAAAGATCGAACAGGCTGAGCTTAACAAGCTGGAGGCTCGTGAGCACAATGCGGCCTCTAAACAAGCTGCTGCGGCCGGTGGGACTCAAAGTTACACCACTGGAGTCACGGGGGCAGCCCATCAAACGCCGGCTACAACTGGCGGTGCCGCACTTGCTGCTGCTCATCAAACGCCGTCTATCCACCTCACTGCTGCTGGACAGACTGGCCATGTGACTGAGGGCGTGGTTGGATCGCAGCAGTATCCTGTTGGGGCCAACACGGGCACCGGTAGAACCCCAGTCCAGGACACCAACACCAACGTTGGCGGTGGTGGTGGTGCCTACAGCTAAATGCGCATGGGACTTACGGAAGATTGGCTGGCTTGTGCCCAGTAACTTACCATGGTATTTGTGTTTGGTTTTATCACTTTATTGTTTCTTGTTTGAAGTTTGACCTTGAATAAAAGTTGGTTGATGATTTGTTCTAAACTTAATCGGATTATAAATAAATAAATTACTGGTAGGAGTTCTTGTGTTTTTTTTTTTTAACAAATCCCATTTTTAACACAGAAATAGGGCAATTTAGGTGATCAAGATTTTTCAGACAATTCTTCTTTTGAAATGCAGTATTGAACAAAATATGTATATATATTTTTATGTGTTTGGTCAAACGAAGTATTGGTTTGTAATTCTCTGCTTCAGCAGGCCTTGAAGTCCTTAATTGTTCCAAGAATATTAAAAGCAATCAATCTTGTTTAGCTTTTTAACTAGTATATAAATTTGGCCATCTAAAAGAATTTACAAATGATCTTGCCGCTTTGTTCAATATATAGCTCCAACAGTAGCCCCATTCTCTCCACCATCTTAGACGTCACAAATTGCATATACTTTTTGCAAAACAAACATAGAAATATATGCTATGGAAAAGGAAAATCACGTCTACAAAGACATAATCAGATCAATCAAACCAGAGACCAAAGATGCTAATAATATCTTCCTCTCATTACTTTCCACCTACAAGGAAGCGCCTAACATTCAACATAATAATAATAAATAATAAATAAATAAAAAACAGCATCACCCAAAAGTTTCATTAAGAAGCTATGACCCAAAAAGCTAAACTACAATGGGGAAGCTATAGACTGTTGCCCACTAGCGCAACTAGTTGAGACCATTATTCTCCCCTCACACTCCTGATTTACGCAACTCGCCAGCCCCATGAGCGAAGTGACACCTTTCTCCAAAGGTGCAGGCCCCCTTCGCAAAGTTTTCACATAGCTTCGTCTTAAAGTTATTTGCTGCAGGGGCTGGTGCTCCAAAAGCTCCTGGGATTTTTGCCCGGCCAACCACTGGACCAATACTCTCAATCAGCTCTCTTACCATGGCACTTGCTTGCTTGATCTGTTCAAAAGTGCCCTCAAGCTCAATGTTCCTGCGATTAGGATCTGACTCGTGCTCTCGAATGGATAGCTTGGCTCCTGTTTGCCGACAGATCTGCTTGGAGTTCACACCACCCTTCCCAATAATGGCTCCAGCAAGGGACGCATCTACACTAATTTTGGCAGAGGCTGAGGCACCAAAACTTGCAGCAGGGCTTGGAGCAGGTGGCTCCATCCTGTTGTTAAAACGGCCTGGAATAGCTCCCATGGTACGGGGATCATCACGAGATGGAGCAGGCTTGCCAAGTTCCCACTCACCATGGGCAAAATGGCATTTGTCTCCAAATTTGCAGCCTTCAGCTGTGTTATATCTATTGCACACGCGGGTTTTCACAGCAGGTGGGGAAGAGCCATTTGAGATGGGTGGTGGGACTGCCACATTTCTTGGAGCTGGACTTGGTCCCAGGTTCATCATCTGAGCAACGGAATTATAACCACCTGGAACATAGTGAAGGAAGTGACAGTTCTCACCAAATGGACAGCCAACAGTGCTGCAATCCAAAACATGAACACCAATAAGATCACACTAAATAGTTGAAAACATTGCAATCACATTCACCAAAAGGAGTCCAACAACAAATGATACTAGCACAGCATTTAATATTTCAGCATACAAATTGCGCGCAAGAATTGTTTCACCACAAATAACGTGAATACAAGCAGCCCAAAATTGTAACATGGCAGTCGCTCAAAATAGTCGAGTGTTATTTTAAACAGAAAGTGATTGGTTACTAGTTTTATATAATACTATTATTGTTTTTGCAAAACAAGTGTGAAAGCTTTGAAAATAGAAAAGAGGGTTGCCAAATGCAAACAAAACATGATTTTAAGGTCAAAGGGGTATTTGATCATCCCAGTGGTCAAGCCAACAAATTCACCATTTTTTTTTTTACCATTCAATAAATCGACAGACTAATAAGGACACCAGGCAACTGAGAATACTAAATTTCTTGGAAGAAGGTTTAAAAGGGAATAAAATGATAAGTTCTTGTTTATATGGGTTCATACGCATAAACTAGCCACTGCATTGTTGTACCTTATGTTTATAGTCTATATACATATATAGAGAGAGAATGGATTGGAAAAACCGATTAACAAAAGAAATGCACAGAACAGCCTACATGACTGGCAACATTTATTGCATGTATCCGCTGCTTCCATGGTAAGTAAACTCTTCTGTTCATGAGCAATACAACATTAAGTCTCACGTATTTACTTTTAATAAATCACTGTTTTATATATTCTTGCTTGAACCTCAGTTTGACATATACAAGGTCATGTCATACCTCTGATAGGATCTAATTAATGTCCAACAATCCTAAATCATATATAGAACCACCAAACAGGAAACCATTGGATGCTGTCATATAACTAGGCTTTGTTCGCTAGCTAGAGACAAGCTTTTTTGAATCTCTGTCATTCATCAGACGGTAAACCACCCCCAACTCCCCATCAAATGCATTGACTAAGTAAATACCCCCAATGGAAATAACCTAGCATTAAAAGACTTGAAATTTTGGCCAGTATGTTACCATAAGTATGAAAGCTGACAACTCGGGAAAAAACAGCTAGTGAACATTCTATTGACGCTAGACAATTTGAATTTCAAAAAAAGGATACTCTAGCTTTTATAACTTCTTTAAAATTTTCTCTGCAGAAAGCTAACCCACCCCATTCTTCCTATTACTTATTAGTAGTTTCTCATGAGAGTTATGCACATCTAATGTAGACACTCTAGCTTGGGTCCTACTATGATCACAATTTTAATGAAGGATGTGGTATACATTAGGTACCAGCGAACAGAACGTTTCAGAGGAAGTCTATTAGCACACATGTAAGGACCGCCTCTGTTCATGTATACCCATAAGGTTGAATAAGAATGTTCCTCCATTAAAGGTCATGCTAACAGTCAGTAAAAGGTCATTGCAGAGATGGGAGAAGTTTGCCTTAAAATATTAGTTTATATAAGCTACCTCCCTATTATGGTTTTCTTTTAACAGGCCTTCAGGATACATTAAAAATGTCATATAAAATATACACGCCTCTCACCTTGCCGAGCCTTATGCAATCAGCAATGGAAAAGGCCATCTTCTATCTCTTAGGCTTTTATGTGTTCCATCTAATTTGCCAACAGTCTCATGTAGGAGTGGTGGTTGAAAGGGTGCTCTTAATGAAAACCCTAGAATGAAACCCTCTACCTTTACCCATATACTTGGGAGAATTGACACAAGAAAATGAAAGAATTGCTATTGAGAAGTTCAAAATGAGAACCCGATGCGTAATGGATTAACTCATGCCTCAAGAAATTGATAGTAAATGATAGAGCAAATTTTTTACATCACTGCTTTTAACTCAAAAATAATGTGCCACGGAATTAGACTACAATGCTGTGTACAATAGCTTGAAGCCTTACAAAAAATGAAAAATATATATGCAGGAATTTAATATGAATGACTATGGGAGGAAGGATCACTCTTACCATTTATAGTAAAATGGATTTGGTTTAGAATACAGTAAAACTAGTGAAAAAATATATATTTTCCTTCACTGTAATCAAGTTAAGAATAGTAGCTATGACTTTAGAATAATACTACATCTAATAATGCAACTTATCAGAATAAGAAATATATATATATATATATTAATCTTTAAAAAGTATTGAAGTTAATAACCAAATCATAATCTGGCACAAATGCAGTGAATAATACGACCTCATACTTGACTTTTAAGCATATATAACCAATGACTTTTCATACCTGTATCAATCCGCAACAAACTGAAATAAAGGCAGCATTTTGAAGAAAATTCTAAGACAAATGGTAAAAAAGTTTTTTTTTTTTTTTTTGTTTTTTTTTGGGGGGGGGGGGGAAGCCACGTCATAATATGAGTATAATTTTGTCATTGAATCAGGATTAGCATACAGTTATGTTAGTGTGGGTTGTTAACAGAGCGCTATCCCTGTTGAAATGATGTTAAGTGGGAAATATATAAACTGAAATAAACCTGTGTAACAGCAACAAATTCCCAGTCCATTAGTGCAGTTACAAATTTTACTTACAAATTGTGGCCATTGTAGAAATAACTCTTGGAAGAAGGTACAAGCATCATCAAGAAATATTATGTTTGAAATGTTTATATTAGATAGGTGAAGATTTGAACCTGAAAAACTTCGTGCATGGCTTCGATTTGCTTCCTATACCACTTGATAAAGAATCCATTTCTGTTACAAAACATTAATTACATTCTCCCCAGTTAGAATTTCTCTAAATACTTGGTCTATATATTTTATGAATATCCAACACATAATGGATACCTTTCCCTGATGAAAATTTCATTGCCAAAACTAGTGAATTTGTGATTATAATCTGATATATATAGTATAAATGAAAACATATTTAAAATGGCAGTATATAATCGTGATAAATCAAAACTACTTCCTATGGATACTGTGCTCAGTGCTCTTTTAATTCAAACATATATATCATTTAATACTTGCTTCATCCATGCAATAACAGTAGCTTTGGCTTCCCAATTCCCTTGACAAAGGAGACCCCAATTTATCATAATTCATAATGTAGACCTTCAGGAATCACTTACCAAATAGTGAGACACGCAGTTAAAAACAAAAAAAGAAAAATAAAACAGCACCATTCAACTTTTTAATATAGCTTATAGGTTTAAAAATAAACAAAGCATTTAACACACAATTCCATTATTGATCCAAGCATGGTTCGGTAAATTGACCGTTTTGCAACAGTGAACCAGCTCCCTGATACCAGTGACTAATATATATAAACAGGTATGTCATTGACTCATTGTATCTATAGTCTTCAAAATTTTCAATTTTGAGTACATGGTACCGAGAGAGAAAAAAAAAAAGAAAAAGAAGACTGGTATGGATACTTTGTTTTGGTTGAGATTTATTTCCTTTTGTTTTCTTTTCCTTCTGGGTTAGGAAGTGGTAGAGAGAAGGAATGGAGAATTCAAGGAAAGGAATATATGAAACTCAAAATTAGCAGTCTTTTCTTTTCATCTTGCTGACCAAATAAAGGTAAAGAAACACAACAAAATCTACTCTCTTTAGTTTCCCAAACATTACAAAAGTACATTGGAATATGCAAACCACAATAACGAAACAGAGTAAAACAAAGAACTATGAATAGTACACAAGAAAAAATTGAAAAATTACTGATGCTCAAGACACATACCCACCCTTTAAAGAGAGAGATCCCAAAAAAGAAGAAGATAATTATAGAGGGAACATAAAATAGAATCTACCCAAACAGTTGCATCAACTATCAACATAGATAGAACAGAGCAAGAGTATCATCCCACCCAAAAACAAAAGAGTTGTGTATATAAATAAATAAATATATATATATATATATATAAAGGTAATTACCAAAAATATATGTATGTATAAAGGCTTACACTGTATGTGTGAAACCATGTGTTCGGTGAATTAAGAACTGAATATTAAAAGAACTGAGGAACGAACCTTGCTTTGATTTTTTGATAAAGCCATTGGCGTTCAAGCCAGCTTCAGGCCTAACTCTCTTGCGAGTGTCCATAGCAATTAGTACACAGATCTATTTTCGAACAACAAATTTATAAAACAATTAATTCAATACTAAGAAAGTAAGACAAATAGAGAGAGAGAACAAATTGAACGGACCTAATTTTTAAGATATCGAACCCTAAGCAGACGAGGAACGCAAAACCCTAGCAAGGTTAGGAGGGTTCAGGGAAAAAGATCTCGAAGAAAGAGAAAGGGGAACTCCTTATTACTATCAATGACGAATATATGATGTGTACATTGTTCGTGTATGGAAAGATATTTAGGCGGTGATATATAAATGATTATTTAGGGTAAATTACAGTAACATCTCTTCAGATTTGTCGAAAAGATATACAGCAAAATTTATTTAATTTTTGGACAAAAATATCTCTTAAAGTTTCAAAAAAGAAACAAGACACGATAAATTAACCAAATTATCATTTGATTGCTTAGGAGACTTTTTAAACTTTACAATTTAATAAATTGGAAACCAAATTATCATTTGATTGCTTAGGAGACTTTTTAAACTTTACAATTTAATAAATTGGACCAATTTACCCTCATGAATAATTTTTGTATAAAAAAAATAATAATAATAAAAAATTAAAAAAAAAAAAAAAAAAAAATCTCTTCTCTCAATACCTAATACCTTCTCTCTCTTAATGGACCAAACAGGCAGCGGCTTCCTCTTTATGTTTCTCTCTCTCTCTCTCTCTCTATATATATATATATATTGAAGATGCAAGAAAAATACTCTCTCAATTTGGAAAGAATAGTTATACACTTCAAAAAAAATTCAACCCACTTTTCCTTTTTTTTAGTTTATTTATAGTATGACTGCAACTTGGACGGACTAACCCAGCCCAACTCGAAAATTTGAAATTTGGACTTTAAGTTTGCAAATCCGGTTCATGTTCGGGTTGAATTTTGTCAAAACCTAGACATATTCGGGTTGGGCTCGGGCTCAACCCAAACCCAACCCAAAAATAAAAATAAAAAAATTTATTCATTTTTTTCTCCATTCTCTCTTCTCTCTCTCTTCTTTCTCTCTCTACCGAGCAAGCTTGTTCAAAATATGCATTCTCTCTCTCTCTTCAAACCACGTAGTTTTTCTTTTTTTTCCCCGTTCTCTCTATCTCTCTTCTTTCTCTTTCTACTAAGCAAGCTTGTTTCTCTCTCTACCGAGCAAGTTAGCAGTTGCAGAGAGAGAGGGGGCAAGCTTGAGAATTGAGAGATAGCGGTTGAAGCTTGCGAACGACAAACCCAATCTGGAACAACGGGCAATGGAAACCAAAGATCTGGGTTTTGATTTTTTGAACAATTTGAAATAGTTGAGAGTTGAGATACAGCGGTTGAAGCTTGCGATTGGCGAACGATGAACTCGATCTGGAACAGCAGGCGATGGAATCTGAAATGATATGCCGATATGGGTTTTTAACTTTTGACTGTTGCAGACAGACAGATGAAACTGAAATATATGGATTTTGAAGTTCTGATTCTCGTAGATTTTTTAGTTTGCAGTTGTTGCAGAGAGAGGGGGGGGAGTTCAGAGAGAGGCGATTAAGGAGGCTAAAATGATTTTCCCTAAATATAATATAATATATATATATATATATAATTTGTTTTTAATAATAATATAATCAAATATAATATATATATATATTTATTTATTTATTTATTTATTTCAAAAAAAAAAAAAACTCAACCCGTCAACCCGACCCAACCCGTCCAAAAATATTCGGGCTGGGTTATGATCATAACCCATGTTAAATATAATTTGGGTTGGGCCAACCCAACCCGATTCGGGTTGAGGTTGGGTTGGGACTGGGCTAGGTTGGGCCAACCTAACTTGCAGCCCTAATTTATAGATTGTTACAAACATTCTAAAAGCTTCCTAACTAACTCCTTACGTTGGGCTAACCTTTTAGGCTAATCTTAGTTATGGGTTCATTTCCTTTTATCTTAAATCGAGCTTCCAAACCGATCCTACGGTCTTGGGCCTGATAAGTGAAGACTTGGTTTAGATCGGTTACTCTTACCCGACCCGTTCCTAGCAATCTAGGTCGTACCCGGCCTAAGCCATTTTTGGTATTTTCATCTGCCTCCATAATCTCTCCCTAATTAATTAGGGTGAGATTATCAAAAGGACATAATCATGATGTAACGGCTCGAGGCGATGATGTGGGGAAGTAAACGGTTGGCTCAAAGACCCACGCTTTGAGATTTGTTGCACCATTATTGTTGTGGTTCCTTAGATGTTGAATCATTTTCTCTTTAAAAATCCAAGCTTCCCATCTTTTGCCTTTCTTCAATCTTTCTCATCTTCATCCTCAAGCACCATCTTTTCTAATTGTCTCTGCCAACAACCAGTCTTCTCCGGCGAGCTTTCCTTGTCTTCTCCGGTGAGTTTCCCCTTTATGATTCTTCAACTTTTGCTTTGCTACGGTGTACTCTGCAAACCCTCCTTCTAAGGTTAGTTTCAATCCCTTGTTATTTTCTAGGATTTTGCTCTTTACTGTTTTTCCCAAATGAGAATCTAACATTGAAAATTTCTTCCATCATTATAATGGCTCTTGACCTAAAGGTTCTTCGCTCGAGGAACAAAATCCCTAACAACGTCTCCCTTAGGATCTATCCCAAGGACTTGGATGAAAAATTCGGTGAAGGTCTTAACCCATGAGAGGTCCTCTTCTCTATTCTTCACTTGAACGTAATCAAATTTCCCTTACACCTGTTCTTTTGCTATATTTTTAGCAAATTGGGGCTTTCCCCTCTTCATTTTTGCTTAACGGAGGCGTGTTCGGAACCAGTGGCGTAGCCACATAGGGACAAGTGGGGGCAGCTGCCCCCACTGAATTTTTAATTTGTTTAATTTTTTTTTAATTTTATATGGAAAGATTTTTATATTTGTATAATTATCCCTACTAAAAGTTGACATTGCACATATATATAATATATTATATATATATATATATAGATATATAACCAAATGACCATTCACGGTATTATAAAATAAAAAAAAGGAATATAATCTTTCCAAAAAATATGATATTTTTTTTCACTTTCTTAAAATATTATATTCTTTCTCACTTTCCCCAAAAATACAAGATATTCTTTCACACTTTTGACTTTACCACAAACAAATGCGTTGTTAATTTCCATCACATTTTCAATCTTCAACATTTCTCTTTCGACGAGTCTTCAATATTTCAAAAATTCACAAAATCCAAACAGATATTACAATGCGAAGACATGTAATCTGATATATATTTTTGTATCATCTAAATTTACTATTATTATGTCACGAACATTTTGAAAACTCGCCTGCGCGCTTTCAGAATATGAAAAATATTCTGAAATATTTAGTACTGTTTAATTTTTACATATATTATTTTGGTTCAAGTAATATATATATATATATATATTATTGCTGTTAAAAATTGCCCCCACAAGTCGAATGCTTGTTCCGAAAGCTATCCACTGAGCCTCTTGCCAGGTTCTTGAACCAATTAAGCGCCGGTACGGTCAAGCTTGTAGGAAAGCACATGCACATCAAATGATCATTCTCCGTGTTCAAAGCCATTTTCAATTGGATGTGGTAAACATGATTGATTGGATCGCTCGTTCCACCGAACAGAATGAAAACTGGCATGGAAAACTTTCTTGGATTTGGAATATTCAGGATCTCGTCTATAAACGGTGAATTAACTGTTTGTGCTGCCGAACGAAGGGCCTCATTCTCCCTCGAAAACCTTGGGAGAATCCTTTGATCTACAAATTTCCTATCCGAACTTCTGTAGTCATACGTAGCCATTAAAGGCCGGTAAGGCGGATTGAACGATCTTTCCTCCATGAACTTTCTCTGCCACAGTGACGTAACCTTATGGTGACCAGACTCCATGGCTTCCTCTCGCTTCAGCCTTTCTTGATATGGATCGAATGTTATGGCTTCTTCTCGCCTGATCTGCTCGCAATGCGGATCCACATGATAGATCATTCTCGATTCTCCACGTAACGAACATTTAACGGTAAATTGTATGGCCTGATCTCTTCACGATGAAAATCCATGTGATTGTTTCCTTCCTGCTCGCCTTGGTGAGCAACATCGGGTTGCATAACTTTTTCTCCTACTGGAGGTGGTCGTGAAATCGTCGAAGCTTTCCGACGCTCCATTCCAGCTCGCAATTCTGCATTCTCTCTTCTCAGAGCTTCAAGCATGCTCATTAATTCATCAAGCTTCGTTTGCTGGTCATTCTCCCATGGATTAGAACTCTCACCTCTTATCATCGTTCCTAATAGGAGCAGAGTCATCAACTGTGAATTCCTGATCGGATCTAAACTCTGCTAATGCGAATGCACTAGATCTGGCCTCGAACGAGCTAAATTTCGATCTCCTTAGGCCGGATCTGAATCTTTCCTACCGTGAACTCATCAGATCTAACTTCGCTAAACAGATCGCGATTGTGTAGATCCGACTCCAATATCCAAAGATCAACTAGAACCAAGACTCTGTAAGATTGATCATGTAATGACCCGGTCATTTCCTTCCTTTTCTTTTTCTTCATTTTTACGGATAAATTTTTTTTGTTGAAATTTTCTTTCGCATAACCTCACTTTTCATGCTTGAAGTTGGTTTTTGACTTCATGTACTTTCATTCTTATTGGTTTCCTTAAAAGACGTAGCTTTACTTTTGGAGAAAAACTCGCCGGTTGTTTCTTTTTCCCGCAAGGGCGTGGATGAAGAGATTCTTCAGAAACATTTTTGTTTCTTGGGGTGTTTTTCATAAATATCCTTTGAAGATATTTTTGTTTAGGGGTTTCTAAGAAAATATCTTTTGGAAAATATTTTCACTTGGGATCACTTGCGCAGTTATCCTTTTGTGTGGAGGGCCTTGTGCAATTAATGAAAGTTAATTACTAAGTGTCTCCTTGAGGCTTGAATCCTCATACGGGATTTATTTTCACATTTCATCTAGTCGTGTACTTTTAGAATTGTCTTGCGGCCGATCCCTACAGTTTTTGGCCCAGGTTAGCATCAAACTTGTTTGGGGCATATTTCTCTACTCGGGACTCGGTTTTCGACACCATTTCTTCCGTTGATCATTTTTTTTTCATTTTGATTCTTTTTCATTCATGAAGTTTTGCCGTTTGAACGCGTCTGCTCAAATTCCACTTTTTCGAACCCGGCGGGACCCATTCGGGGCACTTTTAAGGTTTTTTTTTAATAAATAGGGGTCTCTAAAATGAAAAATTAGATTTTCTCATCTCTTTCCC